AGGATGGCAGACCTATTGCTTACCTTAGTAAGGCTCTTAGCCCTAGACATGCTGTCCTCTCGATATATGAAAGGGTTTACTTGGCTATTTTACTAGCAGTCTCTAAATGGAGGCATTATCTAGAGAGCACTCCTTTTATAATCAAGACAGATCATGAATCTCTGAAATATCTGTTGGAGCAGAAGTTGACTACTGCTATTCAAAAAAGGGGATTGACTAAATTATTGGGCTTGGATTATACTATTCAATATAGAAAAGGTAAGTCCAACATAGTAGCCGATACATTATCTAGACAATGGGAAGATCAAGTTCACTGTTTTGCAATGGGGACTACCTTGATTATTCCTAGTTGGGTTCAGCAGATTGAGGAAAGTTATAAAGAGGATTCAGTAGCTACTGAATGGATTTCTGTCTTAACTGTCAATCCTAATGCAGACTCTAAATGGAAATACTCTAGAGGTATCCTTAGATATAAGGATAGAGTTTATATTGGTGTTGATGGAGATTTGAGATTACAAATTCTTCAAACCATACATGATTCACCTCATGGAGGTCATTATGGAATTCAGGCTACTTATCAGAAGATTAGAGCTTGTTTCTACTGGCCTAAGTTGAAATCTATGGTGGCAACTTACATCAGGTCTTGTTCTGTATGTCAACAGACTAAAGTAGAGCATATTCCTAAGCCAGGACTTTTACAGCCATTACCTATTCCTCAGCAGGCTTGGGAGGTAATCACTATGGACTTTATAGAAGGTTTACCTACATCCTTGAGGAAGAATTGCATTATGGTAGTAGTTGATAAATTTACAAAATACAGCCATTTTTTAGCATTATCACACCTTATTCTGCATCTGATGTGGCTAAACTATATTTGGATAATGTCTACAAGCTTCATGGGCAGCCTAAGTTAGCCATTTCTGACAGAGACAAAACATTCACTAGTCTCTTTTGGAGAGAACTAATGAAACAATTGGGGTCTAAAACCTTATTCAGTACTGCTTACCATCCAGAGACTGATGGTCAAACAGAAAGGGTTAATCAATGCTTGGAGCAATATCTAAGGAGCTTATGTTTTTTTCAACCAAAGCACTAGGCTAAATGGTTGCCTCATGCAGAATGGTGGTATAATACTACCTATCATTCTGCCCTGAAGATCACACCTTTTCAAGCACTTTATGGGTACAAACCACCTACTATGGTTTGGTACACAGAAACTAAAGTGCAGTCTGTTAATGAACTAATGCGTAGCAGAGAAGATATTTGAAAGCTGGTTAAAGAACAACTTGAGATAGCAAGTAACAGAATGAAACAAAAAGCAGACAAACACAGATCATAAAGAGTTTTTGAAGTGGGGGATTCTGTTTACCTGAAGTTGCAACCTTATCGACAGACGACACTAGCCCTGCGAAAGAATTTAAAATTAGCAGCAAAATTCTATGGGCCATATAAGATTACAGAGAGAATCGGAGAAGTGGCCTACCGTTTGAACTTACCTGAAACATCGAGGTTGCATCATGTCTTTCATGTTAGTCTTTTGAAGAAACATATTAGTAATTATGTCGTTTCCTCTACGGACCCTCCTGCCATAGACACAGACAATCAGTTTCGAATCGAACCATATACAGTTTTGGGAAGACGAATCATTAATCGCCAAAACAGACCTGTGACTCAGTTGTTGGTGCGGTGGACGAACCTTGATGAGACACATGATACTTGGGAGGATTATACTGTTCTTCGAGGCCAGTTTCCAGGCTTCGATCCTTGGGGACAAGGATTATCTCCAGCGGTGGGTATTGTCACGATCAGGAGAGAAGAGAGAAGAAAAGAAGGAAGCGAAGATAAAATTGGGGGAAATGAAAATTAAGGGTTAGGGATTGATAGATAATTGGGAATGAATACCTGATTAATGATCACGTGAGGAGCATGAGGCGTTAATTACCATCAGGAGTAATAAGCCAGGATCACAGCAGCAAGCCCAGTTGATGGCCCTTTAGTTGAGATAATATCAAACGGTTATTCAGAATCTACAGCTGGCATTAGTTAGATTTGCTGGTACCATGTAAACAAATAAAACAATACTATGTGAAGGGACAATCAAGCATTATTTTTTGAATGAAAAATCCTCTTTCTGTATCTCTATTATGCTCCTTACTCTACGATTCTTCTTCTTTATTTCCCTAAATTATCTTATTCATCACAGAAGACATAGGATTTGATTGCAATGGTACTCCTTCATACTTGAAGACATAAGGTTTGATGAAGTTAGTCTTCTTCTTCGCAACCGATGAGGAAGGACTCTTAAAAATGTCGATCCACTCCATACACAAAGAGATAGGCTTTGTTGAATATGATCTGCTCCTTCGCACTCGATGAGGTAGGACGATAATCAACTTCTTTATACCCAAGGAGATATGATTTGTTTAAGGTGATTTACTCCTTCGCATTAGAGGTGATATGACTTTGAAGACAACGATCCACTCCTTCACACTCAATGAGATAAGATTCTAAAATGGTATGCCTCTTCGCACTTGATGAGATGAGACTTTGATAACGATCCACTCCTTTACACTTAAAGAGAGATGATTTATTGAAAATGATTCATTCACAATCCTCTTCTGAAATTTATCTTTTCTTGAGAATCTATTTTTTTTCAAATGTGAAATACATTTTTTTTCTTGAATGCATCTTTTTAATGCACTTGCCTTCCATTCATATTTTTTAATGACTATGCCTTAGAATTTGGACATGTTTATGTCCTAAAAGAGACATGACAATATCATTTTGATGAGTTCTATAAATATTCAAGAGAGGATCGAAAAGTTCTTCAAGATAAGTTGTGAAAAATATTCTCAAAATAGAATTGAAACATTCTTATTAGAACTCTAATGATATTCTCAAGAGACTATTAAAATGTCTTCAAGAGATGCTCAGATTTTATCTCGAGAGATCGAGATTGTTTAAGGAAGAAAGGAATCGTATCTCAAGAAAGACTATATAATGTCTTAAGGGAGATTATGATTTATGTCCAAGTATTCTCAAGAAAATGAAATGTTTAAGGATGAAGATCATAGATTGAGGATGAAAATGAAAAGTTCAAAAGTTTGAGGACTAATTTAGAATGATAATCATAGTTTAAGGATAAAATTAAAATGTTTAAGAGTTTAGGAACTAATTTGAAATGAGGATCATAGATTTGGAACATATGATTCAATTAACTCATTAACCATTCATAATTTGATTTAAATAAATTGAAAACCGATTTCATAAGTTATGTTAGTATTTTTATACCCTTTAACTCAATTATCAGGTTAAAATCGGGTCAATGTTCGGTTCAGATCGGGTTTGAATAAATTAAATTCGAGTTATTTTTGGTACGAGTTAATTTTGGTTTGCTAAAATTCAGGTCGATTTCGGTTCGATTCGTTTTTTCTAGTTTCGGGTCAAATTTAAATCATCATATTCGGATCTCGACTCAAATAAATCGATTTGGATAATCAAATTCGGATCAAATTTGTCAGGTCCATTGCTACCCTTACTCTATTTCCCTTCACCAAAAACATTTGCCTTACCCTCCAATTATTCTCTCCCAAAGCACTCATATAAAAATATATTAAATTTAAAAATATTTAAATATGTTGGGTTAAATATTAGTTCGATTGATACCTTGAGGAGTCTTGATTAAATATGGAGTAATTGTGAATACTTTATATATTATATCAACATATTTTCTTAATATCCTATTAATTCTTTTTAACGATTTAGAATCGTTCCATTTGATTTTTTTTTTCACACCCTAAAATCGAGGTTAGAATTTTGTCATGATAATCTGAATTTTGTCGTCTTAAATTTGAATTTAAGGGCTTAATTAAGAAAAATTATAATTTAAGAGGCCAAATTGTAAGGATTCAAAAGTATAAAATTTGAAAGGTTTAGTGTCACTTATGGAAACCAGTGACAAGTAAGTTAATTTTTATCGAGTCTATCTTAAACCATGAGTTTCATTGTTTGACTTGAAATAAGTTGTCATATTATTATATGAGATTTTATTTTAATAATAATATATTAATGAGAGAGTTAACAGCGTATTTCTTGGTAGTAATAAGGGGCGTTTGGATTAAGGAATGTGAGATTTTTATGGTAATTGAATCTATATTTTCATGTTTGGTTGATCGAAAATCTTATTCTCGGTAATGTTTTATTACCAATAGTAGATTTTTTGGGTATATTACCTGGAATGTCATTACTCCATTTCTTTAGTTATTGTTAGATTATCGGTGTTTTGGACTAAAATACCCTTAATTTTTTTTTTCAAAAATATCTTCTTATGTCATTGAATAATAAAAATTTTATGAAGGTTAAATTATAAATTTATCCTTAAACTATTTTAGATTTACAAAAAAAATCTATAATTAAAATTTTATATAAAATTCAGGGGTTAAAATAAAATTTTACCCTTTCATTAAACCTTTTTATATTTTCAATTTTGTAAAAAAATATAAATTTTATGAATTTAATTTTTTTTAAAAAATATATAAATATTTTTCAATTTGTTAAAAAAATAAATATATAATAAGGATAATTTGATTAAATATATATTCCAATAATATTTTATTTATTTAATCAAACACGATAATCTTACATTACTGTTAAACTAATCAAACACAAAATACAAAATTACCAGTAATCATATTCTCTAATAATCTTACATTCATATTAATAATCTTACATTCCGTGAAGTAAACGTATCTTAAAACCTTGTTTTTCTTCCCGAAGGGATTACAAAGACGTCAAAGTTGAAGTTGGAGCGAGAGGCTTGAGCGAGAGGCTTGAGTAAGTCTTGGACAACGACAACTATGATAAAATAATAATAACACTACGATTATTTTCAACGCAAAAGACTGGGTCAATACGGCAATTAATTAAGATGCCTTTGAACAAACTCCATTCCTATAAGTTAACATCCATGGCGTTCCAAACGCAGAACAGAAGAAGGGGGTTCATGGCCATTCTTTTTATGTCCAAAGAGCTTGCTCTGTTTGCAGTGGCATTAACACTCACCGCAACATCAGCAGCAGCTCAAACAAAACCAGGATGCCAAACGCACTGCGGAACCGTAAACATCCCGTACCCTTTCGGCACAGGCCAAAGCTGCAACATCAGCAGCAGGAGACATTACATTCGTTGTGACAACACCACGGATCCCCATACGCCGTTCTTACGATATCCGGTCACGATGGGCTACGCCGAAGTTCAAGTCCTCGACATCTCCCTCGACGGTTACCTCCGCGTCAACTCGAGCGGCAACATCGGTTCCGACTGCTATACGTCATCGGGACATGCCTCGAATTCGAGCATAGGTTTTTATTGGCTCAGGGAACTCGCCATATCTCACACGAGGAACAAGTTCACCGCCATCGGTTGCGACACCATCGCCTACATCGACAGCTCCTTTATCGGACTCAACTACTCGACCGGATGTTTGACGTTCTGCGGCAGCGTATCGGATGTGATAAACGGGTCTTGTTCGGGTATCGGATGCTGCCAGACGGCTATACCTAAAGGGTTAAGGGGCTACCAGTTCAATTTTGACAGCCGAGGGAACCATTCCAGTGTGTTGAGCTTCAACCCTTGTAGCTACGGATTTGTGGTTGAGGATGGGGCCTATAACTTCTCGGTGTCGGATCTTTCCGACACCGATTTCAGCAAAAGGAAATTTCCGCTGATTCTTGACTGGACGATTGGGAACCAGAACTGCACGGAAGCTCAAAATGACACAAAAAATTATGCCTGCAAGCAAAACAGTGAATGTGTAGATCCAGGGAACAACGATGGGTATTTGTGCAAGTGTGTCGATGGTTTTCAGGGCAACCCTTATCTCGGCTGCCAAGGTAAAGTATCCGATCTGAAATAATCGATCGGTAAATCGGAAATAGATGATTACATTTAAATGTTTGAAAACTTGTAGATGTTAATGAATGCGAGACGCTGAAGCCCTGCAGTGGGGGTGGAAGATGTGATAATACAGCAGGAAGCTATAGGTGTTCATGCCCAAGAGGGTTCAAGGGTGATGGCTTGAAAAATGGAACAGGTTGCAGCCCTTTAACCGACACGGTCGGTGAGGGCTTCTCCACCATTACTGTCGTTGCACTAGGTTGGTGCATCTTTACTTTATATATTTCAAACAATACTTAATTCTGTGGGTCAAAATATGCTCCAAGTTGCTATGCCTTTCGTACATTTGGCATTTAGTCCATCTGTTTTTATTTTTTTAGAATTTAATTCATCAACTTGATTTCATAATAATGACACTCAGCTTGATTTCATGCAGTAATTGGCTCAAGTTTAGGCCTGCTGATTCTAATTGCTGGGGTTTGGTTACTTTACAAGAAACTGGAGAGAAGAAAGAACAACAAACTCAAACAAAAGCTCTTCGAAAGAAATGGTGGATTATTGTTCCAGAAAAAGCTGTCTTCAAATGAATCTGGTCTGGACAAATCTAAACTCTTCACTTCCGACGAGTTGGAGACCGCTACCGATCGATTCAATGAGAACCGAATCCTGGGTCGTGGAGGCCAAGGAAATGTCTACAAAGGAATGTTGTCGGACGGGAGAATCGTGGCGGTAAAGAGGTCGAAGATCGTAAACCAAGAGTTCCTTGAACAATTCATCAATGAGATCGTTATTCTCTCCCAAATTGATCACAGAAATGTTCTGAAATTGTTAGGCTGTTGCTTGGAGACCCAAGTGCCACTCCTCGTCTATGAATACATCCCCAATGGTACCCTCTCCCATTTTATCCATGACCAAAACGAAGATTACCCGAGGTCGTGGGACATCCGATTGCGCATCGCGGCGGAAGTCGCGAGCGCGATTTCGTACTTGCACTCGTCCGCGTCGGTCCCCATTTATCACCGAGACATCAAGTCCAGTAACATACTATTAGACGAAAAGTTTCGAGCCAAAGTGTCGGATTTCGGAACGTCTAGATCGGTAAGCATTGATCAAACTCACTTGACTACTCAAGTGCTAGGGACCTTTGGTTATCTAGATCCTGAATACTTCCAGTCAAGTCAGTTCACCGAAAAAAGCGATGTTTATAGCTTTGGAGTGGTTATTGTCGAGCTCATAACAGGACAAAAGGCGGTCTCGACGATTGGATCGCAAGAACGGAGAGGCTTGGTTTCATACTTTATGTCGGCGATGGAAGAAGATCGTCTGACGAATATCATCGATGTGCAAATCCTGAAGGATGGTCTAAAGGATGAAGTGGTTGAAGTTGCTCAACTTGCGAGAAGATGTTTGAACTTGGACGGGAGAAATAGGCCAACAATGAAAGAAGCGGCAATGGAACTCGAGAGACTTAGAACTCAGAAAGGTGATTGCATCCCGACCGATCAACCCAAACAATTTGTGCGAAAATCGAGTAATAGTTGGGATTTCAGTTCATTCTCAACACAACATGACACAAATTTCAGCATTACGTCTACATCGGAATCAGATGTTCGTCCACTTATGTTGGATACAATTTGATTACATCTCCGAGTTCCCACTGAAAATTTTCCTTGTAAATCACATTGATATTTAATTTATTGATCGATTAATTTAGATTGAATATTATAGAGATTCATTATAAAAACAATACTTATAACAAATATATTAAATACGTGCATTGTTGTCATAAAATAAAGCGTTGGGTCAAATGCTAAAAAAAAGAATAAAATTAAAGATACTATTTAGTCAAATATTATATACTTTTTTTCTCATATCGAGCACTGAGATGTTTGTTTTCTCCATTACCCATTTACCATATCAGCATTGAGATGTTTTCTTCATCACCCCGTAGCATACTTAACTAGAGATGTCTTCGTTTCAGTTTTCTCATTATCTTGTGAGAGCGTTGAGAACCTTCCGTTATATATGTAAACATACGAGTCTCTAGTAACTTGAAATAAGTCATCATATTGATTCTCGAGAAGCAATTCCGTAAACACGATAAATACATTCGTATACAAATTTTGGATCAAGTTATTTTACGACATTCCCTCAATCGAAGATGACAAATTGTTATACCTCATGTAGACCTCCTTTGGAGTACTATATCTTCAGACTTGCTACAACACCTTGACATGATCAACGAAAACCCACAAAATCTACGATTCATTATTTAACTACAAATTTATTTAATCTGTAAGTCTACGAGTGATCATCATGACCCACACCTACCAACATCATTAAATGTACCCATACAAAAGTTTCAAAAAAAGTTTTTGTTTCCTTTTTTTATTTTTATCGACCATCAATTGTAAATCTACTTGTTATGATACTCCATCTAAAATAAAAAGAGTAAACTATCTAAAGCCGTCACAACTCAAATATTACGATCAAAAATGAAAATAAAGAGTTAATATTATTATCAAATATTTTTATCTGAAATCGAATATAATATAAATATGAAGTATTCAATATTTTTTTAATATTAACGAGACAAGAACTATAATTTGGACCAAAACAAAAGTACAAAAGCCCAATTGAACATTAATAAACCCAAAATGGCTGAACTTTTGAGATCCTATGAGAACTCAGACACTGAAAACTTCAACGACTTTAGATCACTGAAAATCCCAGTGATTTTCAAGGGTTTTGAGTTCTCAAATCTTACATTTTCATCCTCCTATTCGTCGATATGATCCTTTAGAAAAAAACCCAAATCAAACCAAAACCCAGATTTCTCAGCAAATCAACCATGGCGACCGTGACGAACACGCCCGTATCAGATCTGTTAAAGTCCTTCAAACTCAAAACGAAGCAGCAAGAACTCTTGATCCGTGTCTCCATCCTCTGTCTCGTCTACATATTGGCCTTCATCATCCGTCTTTTCTCCGTCCTTCGTTATGAATCCATGATCCACGAATTCGATCCCTACTTCAATTATCGCACCACTCTTTACCTTACCCAGAATGGGTTTTACGATTTCTGGAACTGGTTCGACTACGAAAGCTGGTACCCTTTAGGCCGAATCATCGGCGGCACCCTTTACCCCGGTCTAATGGTGACTGCCGTTCTCATTTATCGCATCCTCCATTTCCTCCGTTTTGCCGTCCATATCCGCGAGGTCTGCGTTTTGACAGCCCCCTTTTTCGCCTCAAATACGACCCTCGTCGCTTATTTCTTCGGGAAAGAAATCTGGGATACTGGCGCCGGACTTGTTGCCGCCATTCTAATCGCCATTTGTCCTGGTTACATATCGAGGTCCGTCGCTGGTTCTTATGATAATGAAGGGGTCGCCATTTTCGCTTTGCTTTTCACGTTTTACTTATTCGTGAAGGCGGTCAATACGGGATCGTTGGCTTGGAGTTTGGCTTCGGCGTTTGGTTATTTTTATATGGTTTCGGCTTGGGGAGGATATGTTTTTATCATTAACTTGATCCCACTATATGTGCTGGTGCTTTTGATCACTGGGAGGTATTCAATGAGATTATATATTGCGTATAATTGTATGTATGTTTTGGGAATGTTGCTTGCGATGCAGATTCGATTTGTCGGGTTTCAACATGTGCAATCTGGTGAACATATGGCCGCCATGGGCGTCTTCTTCTTGATGCAGGTTTTGCACGTTATTTCAACCTTGTTCTATTTTCAAGTATAATGAATTTTTGGTAACATTATAGTATTTGAAGCAATTAGTGCTTGAAAAATGAGGTATATTTATGCTTAGGCCATCAAAACATAACTAAAACTCGATCAAAGCATTAAATTGATACATTAATTATGAAATACAATTATGACCCAGTAACATATATGAACATGACAAGAATATACTAATTGCCCAGTCTAAGCAAAAGCATAAACTGAAGAGAATTTCTTTTGCGATGTATGGTTTGCCTATTTTAGTGGGAATAGTGTTTCTAATAATCAATGTTTGAATGTAACATTGAAAAGAAACTTCTGTTTTCAATGACAACTGTTTTTGAGTGGGATAATTCTGCTTTGTGTTCCTTCTAGTTATTCGAAGGCCAAAAATAATTTTATTTGCATGTGATGAAATGGAATCTATTTGCTGAAAGTTGTTCAGCAATTATTTTTCTGAGCTTTGAACTGGTAATGGAAGTTGCATTAATCATGTTTGGACAACTTTTTCAGGTTTTCTACTTTTTAGATTGGGTGAAGCACATGCTAAGTGACACAAAATTGTTTCAAGCTTTTTTGAGGATCACTGTGACTTGTGCGGTCGCTGTGGGCACTATTGCTTTGGGATTAGGCATGTTATCTGGTTATATTTCACCTTGGACGGGAAGGTTTTACTCTTTGCTGGATCCAACTTATGCCAAGGATCACATCCCCATTATTGCATCTGTCTCAGAGCATCAGCCTACGGCCTGGTCATCTTTCATGTTTGATTACCATATCCTGCTTTTCCTTTTCCCAGCTGGTCTTTATTTCTGCTTCAAGCGGTTGTCAGATGCCACTATATTTATCGTCATGTATGGTCTGACAAGCATGTATTTTGCTGGTGTTATGGTTCGGTTGATTCTTGTTGCTACACCTGCTGTTTGCCTTATTAGTGCTATTGCTGTTTCTGCCACTGTGAAGAACTTGACTGTTCTGTTGAGGTCTAAGAACAAGGGTGTCCTAACCGGTTCCACTAAGGGAAGTAGCAGTTCAAAGGCCTCTTCTAAGGTAACATCTCCCCGCTGTTCTCTCTGACATCTCCCCACTTTTCTCTAACTTATCAATTTCTTAAAGTACTTGTGTCTGGCACCCGCACCTGAGTCTTAATAACACAGGCCTGCTATTCTTTCAGATTTGAGCTGTTTGTATTGAACTAATAATACTTGTAGTATAAGAATTTGTATTGGTGCTTTTTCTTTTTTGCTAAAGGAGATAATGCTTGTTTCAAAGTTTTATTTGGTGTTATTGTTAATACCCTGTGTTTGCTAGAAGGCATTGTAATGCATTGATGATAACAACTTATCATTCTAGTGGTATTGAAGAAATTCCTAAATCTTGTGAGCTAGGAATAGACACTGCCAATACTTTAATAATTTTTGTTTCTATCCATAATATCAGGTTCTTCTGGGTTAGTTTTGGGGTAAATCCAAGAAATAATGTATCTTTATTTTTCAAGCAGGCTTTACTTGATCAATCTCAGCCTTTCCAGAAAAATGGGGCGATTGCACTGCTCTTTGGTGCCTTTTACTTGCTCAGTAAGTATGCTACCCACTGTACATGGGTCACATCCGAAGCATACTCATCTCCTTCAATTGTGTTGGCTGCAAGAGGTGCCCACGGGAATAGAGTTATTTTTGATGATTATCGTGAAGCATACTTTTGGCTTCGGCAAAATACTCCTGCAGATGCTAAGGTGATGTCTTGGTGGGATTATGGGTATCAAATCACTGCCATGGGAAACAGAACTGTTATTGTTGACAACAACACTTGGAATAATACGCATATCGCCACGGTTGGGCGTGCAATGTCATCTTACGAAGACGAGGCAATTGAGATAATGAGATCCCTTGATGTGGATTATGTATTAGTTGTCTTCGGTGGTGTTACAGGTTATTCATCCGATGACATTAACAAGTAAGACCCCAAAATTCTCTTATTTTATCCATTACTTTTGTGTCTGTATACGGTGTCACTTATGCAGTGTGAAAGGTGCCTTGAAAGGTTACTGCTCTTCGTTCTTTCCTTCAGATCATGGAAACTCATTTTGTTCATACTTGGGTAGTTGGATTGGTAGGTTTAGTCTGATTAAATAATTAATTCTCACATGTACTTTTAAAGCATGATGATTAACGTAGGGTCCTTCTGTACATGCATGGTACGCGAAACATAAAGAATGGGCATGAAAATCTAGCTCAATTATTTAACAATTGTTGTTGCTTTTTCTTGAAATTATGAAAAATAATGTGATTCTGAACTTTGATCGGTGCATGTATTTAATCATTCTTTGCAAATCGCCACTGTATGCCTTACTTTTATAAGTAACCCAAGCCCTTCCTCCCCAACAAGAGAAGAACAAACCGGACGAAAAAGAAATAGGAAAGATCATGCTTGTTTTGGGCGTATGGAAGTTTTTTTTTTACGATGCTGTCATCATCATAATCTTTTGTTGTGGGTTTCTCAAGTGCTGCTTTTTCTTCCGTCCTGATTTTGTGAAGTGTAATTATCGTATTCTAATTATCCATTGTTGACAAATAGATTTTTGTGGATGGTGAGAATCGGAGGTGGAGTATTCCCTGTAATTAAGGAACCCGATTACCTTGTTAATGGTGAATACCGTGTTGATAAAGGTGCTGCTCCTAAAATGTTGAACTGCCTCATGTAAGTTTTCAAAGTTATTATCTCTCATTCGGTATATAATATATATTAATTCTTTGGTACTTTGAAAAATCTTTGTTTATACTTATTGATCTCTATGGTCAGGTACAAGCTATGTTACTATAGGTTTGGAGAGATGTTGACGGAATATGGCAAACCTCCTGGGTAAGTAATATCATTTTCAACTTATCGGTAGTGAACGCGTCGACATCTATATA